TACTTTATAGAGATATCTAATCATAAGGAAAAAGCAGGGGAAATAACTGTAGATACATAGGATCGAGGTACTACACACGTCTAACACAATGTGATTTGTCACACCTCGATAAGGTAGCTATGGGTATCTGACAATACTAGTAAGACCTTACCTGGAACCTTATAGGCTTATGCTATCTTTATAAACACTTCCTCTTTAAGGCTCGCGTTACTAAACACGTCAACGGCATCGAACTACCTTATATCTAGGTTGAATCGGCCGGCGATAGCTATTAGTATATAAAAGGACGGCGAGGCTAATATAGCGGCGTAACTATTTCTTATTTTTAACTATTTTTATTAATCCCCTTATACTATAAAGCGTTCCTTATACTTAGTAAACGTCCCCTCCTTATCTAACTAATAGGTACATACTTATCTATAGGCGAGGACTTTTCTTTTTATGTTTTTATTTTATTTACTACGTGTATATAGCCCTAAAGCTATAGCACGAGTCTATTAAGGAGACTAAGTCTATAACGAGTATCTAGTTATCTATATAACCTATATATAAAAGTAAAGAGTAGGCGAACCAGAATTATTAGTCTAGGACTTGCCCTATATAGTAGTGCGCGCTCCCCGAAGTTCCCTAGGCTCTAGGGCTTAATCGCAGGTAGTATATACGCTTAATTTCGCGTGGTAGGTATATACCCTCCCCTCCTAAGGAGGGTATGTACCGGAGGCAGTATGGTTCCACTTATTAGCGTGTAAGCTAATAAATATCTCCCCGAATGTGCGGGGACCCCTATAACGTGCAGGAGCTCCGGGTAGGTCGCGCGCGAATTTTTCGAAAGAAATTCGCGCACGGTTAAGGGGAGTAGGATTCGAACCCACGGCCTTGCGCGGCCACCAGGCGTGTCTACCACCTATGCCATCCCCCCTCTATAAGACTTATATCCACGACCTAGAAGGGCCTATCAAGTAGTAGCAGATATACTAGGAACTAATAGACTATTGCTATAGTATCGCTGTTATATAGCTAAGAGATAGTAACCACGAGAAATATCGCTATGACCTAGAAGCGCTAAGGCTATATCTAGATTCCTGGATGTTAAACTATAGAAGAATTGATATAGAGCCACTAGGAGTTAATAGGGGGTTAAGGATTAAAAGATTAGGTATAATAGTCTTATATTAAGGTAGCCGGGTAGGGATAGATAAGACGATTCTAGTTAGACCCCGGATAGCTATATAAGGAGCGCCCTAGAGACCTCTTTTTAGAGTCGGGTAACGAATAGTCTAAGACCTTAAGACCTATCACCTATAGATGAACAAGTATTTACTTAGGACATTTCGGTGACTTACTCTTATGCCACTCTATACGAGGATACCTTTGACACCGCCTCTTTAAGATTGTGAAAATAATTCTAAAGTAGTTTTAGATTTTTTAGAAGATATAAATTTAGAAGCTGTTATAATAATAGCTAAGGCCTTACTGGACTTTACCGTGTAATAGAATAGTATCCGCCTAATGTACGCGGGGACTTACAATTACCCATACGCGTTATATTCAGTAGTACGTGGTCCCTTAATCCTTACCCCTAGGTAGCGTTAAAAATCCTTAAAAGGGTATCTATACCGTAATAAACGAGACATTCATACTACCTTTATGCTATAGTCTTCTACGGTTACCGCGGTTATTCGAATCCTCCGTGCGGGCTATTATATAGTTTCCGAGCCGAGACCGTAAACGCGGTAGCGGTGGCTACTACACGTTCAATTATATACTAGCCGTGGATATCTAGTAGTTTATAGATTAGCCGGTGATTACTAGTGCTACCGATAGTATTACTTATAATACCTTAGCGGTAGTCTCATAGACGTAGCTAGTGTTCCGAGACAATACTCGTGATAAATTCCTTATAGTATACAGCATTCTGTAGACGTAGCAGCCTCTTCGTGCCAGATAGGGACTATATACGTAGTTTAACGTCTCTGTCCCCGAGGATAGAGGCCTTATAGATACTTACCTATAAGGATAAAGATAAAGCACTATTAGGTGATCTAACTATTATAAAACGGCCTTGATTATTAAGAATGCGGATTAACAATCCTGAGTCTAGGATCGTGTAGTTTAGTAATGCTTTAGCTTAGTTAATAAAGAGAGATACTCTTTATCATGATAATCTTAATCGTGTCGTCGTATAAGGGCATACTATATCTTCTATAGGATAGAATCCTTGTCACCCACTTGCGGAGGTGTTAAAGTTTAATACAGGTACTTCTTCCATTATTATTACAGTTAAGGTAATAGGCGTTGTATTATAGAGTTAATCTTATTAGGAAGATACCTCCTCTATCTTAGTCGCGGTAACGGACCCTAAGACTTCTCGTCTTTTCTATATTACGGTATCCACGCGGCTCTTAAAGCTATACTTACGTATCTTCTTCTTTATAATCTTCGTAATATCTTCACGACCACGCTAATATAAGGGCGTATATCCGGCCTTATATACTAATAGGCGGGAGTAGTATAGGGGTTTTTATAGATATCGTAAGGCCGCCTAGTCGTAGGACGGATAGTCTTTCTGGACGTATCGCTATAAGAGCGCTTCTTATTAGCGTTTTTATTATTAGTGGTTATATCCTCTATATCGGGGAGGTTCCCGAGGGTATTAAATATACCTCTCCTTACCTTGGGCTTTATCGCAGATTAAAGGCTTTTTATATTATTAAGAACAGCCCTCAAAGTCTTTATAAAGTCCTTAATCGTTAGTTCGTTTTCCATAATCTTATCATAGTTATTTAGTAGATAGTTATTACTCTATTCCTAGGCGATAAGTCTAATAGCTTTTAGCGTATCTTTAACCAAATAGTCTACCGTTAATAGCTCTGAAACGTGTATATATTTACAGTGCATTATCGCTGTTTTCCAGCTTATAACCCACGCGTCTATATCCTTAGGTATCGTCTTTATAGCTGAAGTATACCCTCGATATAGGATTAGGCCTTCCTTATAAAGGTCTATAGCGGTTAGTCCTGCTTATTCGTGGAGAAGGGTAATCCACGTCCGCGGGCTATTTACGTTTTGATCCTATAGCTATATAAAGAGATTACGTCACGTAGTGCTAATTATCCTTAGAATAAATAAGTATAACTTATTAAGCTCCTTCTACTTTGTCTTATACTTATTCTTTTCCTCGCTATATACGCTCCGATCTTATAGGTAGCACGTGCGTCTCTTTTAGGAGAGGTCACTAATAGATATCAGGATAATCTTAATTAGTGGTTCTTTCATTACGGCTATAGCCGTCTTTTAAGCGGTCGTCCTTTTTTTTGTCCCGACGGCCATAGTAGTAATAGTAATAGTAGTAGCGGTAGTAGCGGTAGCGGCCGCGATAGAGTCTTAGCCCGAGGTATCGGTAGCGTTATCGCCCTTTACTATAATAGTGGAAGATAAAGTAGCCGTAGCCTCCTCCGGCTCGAGGTCGACTATAAGGGCTTCATATTTACGAATATTAGGCGGCATAGGCTAAAGGAAGAGGTAAGCGTCGGCCTCCTCGTCGCTTATCTTTGGATTAAGATAGTTATCCTAGTAGATAGTAGACTTACCGTGTACGGCGCGCTCCTATAATACCTAATCCCTTTAGTTAATAAGGGTAGTGGCCTTGTATTCGGCGTTAGATATATTAGAAGATATCTTCGTGTATTTATTGGTTAATTAATTAATTAGTAGGTAGGTAGTTATGTAAGTACTTAAAATATAATTACTTTTATAGTACAATAGGGTAGCCTTATTGATATCTATTATTTATACGTTGGAAACTCAGCTTATAACTATCGTATATTAAATAGGACTTATATAATGATTATCGTAATAATCCTAATAAAGCAGAAATCTTATATATATATTATATCGTACCGCGGCCGCTATATAACGGAGGCGCTATAGTACCCTTATAGCCCCCCGCTCCTTCGCTAATAACCGGCCTAGGCTAACCCGAACCATAGCCTACTACCCTTCGCCTTAGCCACTAGCGTAGAGGTATAATCCGGATACGCAGAAGGGACGAACCGGGGCTATATCGGCCCTGTAGTAATACTACTCTAATTAAGGATAAGTATAGAGGTTTTCCTCGAGACCTCGAGTTTTCCCCTTTATAGCCACCTGTAAAGGACCGTATAGTCTAAATTAGGCTTTTATAGATTAGATAGGATAGCGGAGTAAGTTTAATAATAAATAAATAATAATAATAATAATAATAATAATAATACTAATAATAATAATAATAATAATAATAATAATAATAATAATAATAATAATAATAATAATAATAATAATAATAATAATAATAATAATAATAATAATACTAATATATATTATATTAAGTTATATCTCTAAGAGTCTCTTCCTATCTCTTAATTTAGGTCGTAAAGACTCTATTATAAGTACTATATTATTTGGATCCTATTCGGTCTTTTCCGGTATCCGCCTTTATTATATCCTTATACCCGTGATCCCTAAGGTCCGAAGCCCTTAATTAGGTATAGTCTATGCCTATACGATATCCTACTTACTTTAAGGGTCGAGCTTAAGCCAGGTAAAAGGTTTTTACTTAGCTAGCGTAGAGTAAATAAGACTCTTAATTATTAGTAGCAAAACTTTATAACTACGCTAAAAGGGATATCCTAATATATTCGTAGGGTACTTTTTGCTACTTATTTAATCTATTTAATAGAAAATGAGGATAAATAAAGCTAAGACTCTTTATTATAGAATATAGTATGACTGTAAAAGTTAAATACGATAAAAACGGTTAGCTTAAAAGATTCTAAACTAATTATATTAAAGCCATGAATTATTATAAATATATCCGGTTATAGGAGGTATTATTATAGTAGGGGGTAATAAGTATTTATATACTTCTATATATTTAATACTAGATAATAAGCCTATATACCCTTAGCCTGATATTTTATAAGTTAATAGTATATAGTTATATTTAAATACTTTTTGCCGGGCACTGTAATAGCCCATAATCCTACGGATACCCACCTTCTATACCCAAATTATATAATCGGCCGTTAGGTTATTCCACCCTAGGGAGGTCTATATAATAAAACAGTTATCTATATACACGCCGTAGTTAAGCCTATAATTTTTAGTAATTATCTTAAGGGCCTATAGGCTAGTTCTGTACCGGAATACGTTCTCTGTCCTGTCGCATAAAGAAATCTTCTGTTCGGACCCCACGGAAAAGATCTGGATTCACCGCGGACACTGGTTTACCAGCTCCTCGATGCTTTCGCATATATTCCCGTACAGGTGCCATAGCAGCATCACGACAAGCTTCTTTGATGTCGCTGCCAGACATGCCAGCTGTCACTTCCGCAAGATAATCCAAATTGAAATCCTCTGGTTCGGTTTTGGTGTTCTCCATAATGAGCTGGAGAATTCTTCTGCGCTGCTCCTTGCCGGGTAATCCCACGGTAAACTTCTTGGGCATTCGCCTGAGAATCGCTTCGTCAATGTCGTGAATGCGGTTCGTCGCCCCGAGAACGACGATACGTGCCGGTAGACCCGAGGCATTAGCAGATGTGAGCCCGTCCCACAAAGTCATGAATCTATAATGGTTAGTCACCGCAATAGTTAATCCTCAACCAAAGCAACGTGGGGCGTTGGGGCAGTATATCCGTCATACTCGGCTTTGACCATCCCACTTGCTTCGTGTTCGCCACTTCTTCGAGTGCCCAGGACAGCATCGATTTCATCGATAAATATAATGGCTGGCTGCATTTTCCGAGCCAAGGAGAATACAGCTCGAACGAGCTTGTTAGAGTCTCCATACCACTTCTCGGTCAGAGTGGAAATGTGTAGGTTTATGAAGGACGCCCCACTTTCGCGAGCAACGGCCTTAGCAAGCATTGTTTTTCCGCAGCCAGGAGGTCCATAAAACTATTGTAGGAAGGGTTGGACAAATCAGCTACAAGAGTATACCAAATCCTGTCTCGGTAATGTCTTACGGGGAAGGTAACATCAGGGACAATAAGAGGGATAGAGGGCGCGCTTACCAGGACACCTGACGGGGCTGAAAGAAGAGGGGCAGCATGTGAATATAAGTGAGGCATTGTCAATGGATATATCACAGCCTCCTTCACCTCCTCGATAATATGTTCTAAACCGCCAATATCTGGGGATATACTTGTAAGTCCATGGATACCGAATAATCACAGCGTATGATTCCGTTGCCGCTTACCGCTGAATCCAACTGGGATATCCGCTGGTGCCACCATTTCCATCGCAATCAAACTTTCGTATTCATCAAGTGGTATGTCATCGACTTGGAAGTCTCTTTCTAGGTTGTTGTCGGTCTCGAATGAATCACCAGCAATCGTCCCCGCCCCATCCCGTCTCCTGGCACCTAGTCGCCGTAAGTGTTCCCTTGCTCTTAGTCTCGCCTGCTCATGCTTTTCCTTTTCGGGGTCGGTAGCTAGTGTCGTTTCTAGGGAAGAAAGAAAGCTTCGGCCCAAATAGATGCCAGTGGCGACCTGTGCAAGTCAGTCTGATGCACCTGAAGTGGAAGGGTATGATGATTTGACACACAACCCCGGCGAGGAGGAACACGTCCACAGCGAAGTCGCTAAGGCCCTTTTTCCTATCACCCATTTCTGCTAAGCGCACTGAGTTGTCGTGTGAAGGAAGTGTTACAGTTAACGCCTAATCCTTAGATTACAAATTTGTCTCGAGCCTAAAAGTGTGGGAACGAGGTGTCGCATGGGCACAGACCATGCCTGGCAGACCATGCCTGACTAAGGGCTTTGAACCTCGGGCATCAGGATATGACTGTCGCATGGGCACACGGACCACGACGTGGTCTATAGGGGATCCAGGGGGGATCCACGCTATGACTAAGGGCTTCGGATATGATAGGGGCGGATACCGGGAAAGACCGGATAGGATCTAAATGACTCAGTACCTATAATAGAGTCTTTACCACCTAAATTAAGGGTATAAGAGACTGTCCTAGATATAACTTAATAATATATATACACGAGATTTCTGCTTTACTAAGTTAAGTATTTAAGTACCTATATGACGTGCGATAGTTATAAGCCCGGTTTATAACGCCTAAATAATAGATATTAATAAGGCTACCCCTATTCCACTATAAAAAAGTAATCACGTCTATATAAGTACTCTTAAATAACTATTATTAACCCAATTAGAGTAATCAAAAGATTAATTAACCTACCTATTAATTAACTAACCGATAAATAATAAACTAGTAAAGATATCTTCTAACGTATTTAACGCTGAATAAAAGGCGGCCGCTATTACCCTTATTAATTAAAGGGATTAGGCGGTTTAGGAGCGCGCCGTACGCGGTAAATCGGCCTCCTACTAGGATAACTACCTTAATCTAAAGCTAAGCGATAAGGAGGCTAACGCCTATCTCCTCCCCCTACCTATACCACTTAACGTTTATAAATACGAAGCCCTTATCGTGGACCTGGACGCGGAGGAGGCCACGGCCACGGCTACTACGTCTTCTATTATCACGCTAAAGGGCGATAAGGCCACGGACGCCACGGACACCGCCGCTACTATAGCGGCTATAGCCGATAATAAGAGGAACACGGCCGCTCGCTAGAAGGTTACAGCCGTAACGAAAGAATCACCGACTAGGACGCCTATATCTATTAACGACCTCTTTAAAAAGGGGCGTACGCGCTACCTATAAGATCGCCGTATATACCGCGAGGAAAAGGCAGACTATAACGCGTAGTAGAAGGAGTTTAACGAGGTACGCGCCTATATTAAAGGGACTATATACACTATATTACGTAACCTCCTTGCTTAGTTATAGGATAACACCGTAAATAACCCGCGGGCCTGGATTACTCTCCTACACGCGTATATAGGACTAATACCTATAGACCTCCGTAAGGAAGCCTTAGTCCTATACCGACGATACACTATGCTTATAAAGGCTATACCTAAGGATATAAACGCCTGGGTAGTAAGCTAGAAAATAGCGATAATATACTATAAATATATAGGCGTTTTAGAGCTATTAAGCGCGGACTATTAGGTAGAAGACGCGTTAAAAGCTATTAGACCTATTACCTAGGAATAGAGTAATAATTACCTAGCAAATAACTATAATAAGATTACGGAAAATGAGCTGACGATTAATAACTTCGTAAAGGCTCTAAGGGCGGTTCTTAGTAATATAAAGAGCCTGTAATCTACCGCTATAAAGCCTAGAGTTAGGAGAGGCACTTTTAATACCCTTAGGAACCTCCCCGATACTAAGGATACTATTGATAATAAAGATAATAAAAAGCGTCCTCGTAGCGATACGTTCTTAAAGGCTATTCCTCCTATAACGAGGAGGCCTTATAAGATATACGAAAACACCTATACTACCGCCGCCTATTAGTACGTAAGGCCGGATATACGCCCTTATACCTAGCGTGGCCGTGAAGATATTATAAAGGTTACGGAAAAAAAGATACGTAATTATAGTTTTAAAAGCCGCGTGGATACCGCGATATAGAAGAGGCGGGAAGCCTTAAGGGCTATCACCGCTAATAAGATAGAGGAAGTCTAGGAAGATTAACTCTATAATACTATGCCTACTATAGTTTATAAAGACTTATCCGTTACCACGACGGGGAGACGAAAAGCCCCCTTAACCTAGGGGGTAGCACGTCGTTATCGTATAACGATACTATTAAGATTATAATTAGAATAAGGGGTATCCTTTTCTATTAACTAAGCCAGAGCGCTATTATACTACGTGTTCCTAGACTTAGGATCGTTAATCTATATCTTTAATAATCAAGGCCGTTTTACGGCTATTAGACTACCCACAGATACTTGATCTTTATTCTTTTAGGTGGGTACTTATAAGGCTTCTATCCTCGGATACGGAGATATTAAGCTGCGTGTATAATCTCTATCAGGCACGAAAAGGCTACTACGCCTCCGTAACGTTATATACTATAAGGAATTCGTTATTAATATCGTCTCAGAACGCTAGCTACGCCTATAAGGCTACCGTTAGGATACCGTAAACGATATTATCGTTAGCTCCGCCGATAACCGGCCTAGCTATAAGCTACTAGATATCTATAGCCAGTATAGAATCGAGCGCGCGGAAGCCACGGCCGCTACTATATTCGCGGTCTCGGTAAGGTATCCCCGCGATAACCCGTATAGAAGATCACGATAACCGCGGTAACCGTAGAAGACCACGGTATAATAGTAGTATAAACGCCTCGGCTATTATAGTACTAATACTCTTATAAAGATCGTCGACGCTACTTAGGGGGTAAATATAAAGGGACCTTATATAACGGACTATAACGTGTGTGGGTAATCGTAAATGCCTATATAGATCTGGCGGATACTATCCCTTTGCCTATTAAAGCCCGGAGAGGCCTTAGCTATTAATTTTTACGATTTAGAAGAGTCGGAATCGCTAGGCGGCCTATATAAGTCTATTATATTCGTTATAGACGTGTATATAAGGTATACGTAGGACTACTACCTATAGAAAAGAGACTAAGGCTTTATCCTATATGTATTAAAAGACGTTTTTGCCCTACTTAAGACCTAATTCGATATTAGGCCACGCGTTCTACGGGCCGATTCTAAGATATTTTAGCACCTAGAAGTCGTCACTTTCCTCGCTACTAAAGGGGTGGAAGGCTAGCCGTCGGTATTATATTTATAGGATTAAAACGGCGTTATAGAATGGATTAAAGGTATCGTTAAAAGGAGGGCGAGGGCTATAAGGATTAGGGCTAATCAACCTATATCTATCTAGCCTAAGATCTTTAAGACTGCTATATACCTGTATAATAGGACGCTACGATATATTAACGACTAGCGAACGCTATACGAAGGCCTGCGCGGCCGTTAACCTAACCTTACGCACTTATAAGTTTACGACTATAGAGCCTTTATAAAAACGCGCGATGCCTAAGCTAAAAAAAACCGCCTATAAAGGCTAGAACCAAAGGTATAAATCGGTTATTGCATCGGATACTAATCCTCGAATAGCCTCCGTATTTAGCTGCTATACCTAACGGATATTATCACCATGAGAGACGTAGTCTTTAACGAAGATAAGATATTTAACAGTAGGATTAAAACGCTATAAGCTATAGCTTCCGCTAAGGAAATCAGGGAACGCCTATAATCTATCCGTATCACATAATCTGATAAGACCGCGAATAGGCTACTATTAAGGGGTATAGCCGTAGACGTATTAGATCTTAAGTCGGAAGACTCTAACGCTACCGCTATTATTACGGGTAAAAGCGATACTACCGCTATTACTATAGATAAAGGCGAGGCCGTCGCTATTACTATAAGAGAGGTTACTACTATTACTATAGACTATACCGTTATTATTACGGGCACCGCTATTACTACGGATACTACTATTACTATAGGAGAAGACTATACTACCAGTATTATTACGGGTATAGGCGACGCTACCGCTATTACTATGGATAAAGGTAAGGCTATCGCTATTATTACGAGAGAGGCTACTACTATTACTATAGACGAGGTTCTAAATCTGCAGCCTAATAACTCTAATGCTACCGCTATTATTACGGGAGAGGCTACCGCTATTGTTACGGACACTTCACGATTTACTATTATAAGGTTTAAACCGTTTCCCACGCCTCTAATATCCCCGGAAGATTCCGCACGCGCGTTCCTTATACCGTTAGCGGTGGTTAGGGGAATTGAGGTAAAAAAACACGATAACTACTAACGGATAGCCGCGGATACCTATAGGGGGTGCCTATTAGCCGTATACCCGTCGGCCGCGCGCCTATCTGTCGCGAGAACTATCGTAAGTCTATACACGACTAAGAAGGTCTAGAATAATAACGTCTAAAAGACGTTCTTTAACGCTAGCAGGACTTATAACCCTATACGCGCGAGAAAGTAAGCTATTAATAACGGCGACGTTAGTGCTATAGATTCTACTCCCTTTAATACCTCTTAGCCGCTATCGTATATAACCCGGGAGGATCTCCCGCCTGTGCTAAAATACCACCGCGATATATGCCTCTACCCGTTACAGGAGCGGTGGTTATAGGCCGAGGGGGAATACCTTAAGGGGCACCGATAAATAGGCTACTAGTAGGAGGTAGGTAGTAATTAGGCTGATAAGTAGTAAGTCCTCGCCTATAGATAGGTATACACCTATAAATTTAATAAGGAGGGCACCCTCCTTAAGTATAAGGTACGCCTCGTAGTCTAAGGGGATTAATAAACACGGTGAAAGACTAAAGATAACTACGCTATAACGCTAACCTCGCGGTTCTTCTATATACTAATAGCAGTCGCCGCCCGATTTAACCTAGAGATAAGGCAGTTCGATACCGTTAACGCGTTCGTTAATACTAGCCTTAAGAAAGAGGTGTTTATAAAAATACCGTAAGGCTATAAAGTACTAGGTAAGGTCCTATTACTACGGAAAGCCCTCTTCGGTTTAAGGGTATCGCTACTACTATAGTAAGAAGAATTTAGCGATACGCTATAGAGGATAGGCTTTATAGCTATCCCTAATAACCCCTATATTATAATCCGCGACGGTTTAATCCTATTCTTCTACGTTGACGATATTAGACTTATATACTATAAAGACCGTAAGACGGACGCCGACGACCTTAAGGCTGCCCTTAAGCGAAGCTATAGGTTATTAGGAGGCGAAG